GCATGAGAGGGAAGGGGAAGTTTCAAGGCAGAAAAGGAAAGGAAAGGAAAAGGAAAGGAAAAGGAAAGAAAAAGAGAAAAACTCGAACGACCGAAAGTCGGCGGAGCTGGGGAGATCGGACCTTGACAGGGTAAAAAAAAAGAGGGGGGAGGGGTTTGAAACGAACAGAGAGGGGGGAGTAAAGGAAGTTGCGGCGAGATCTTGTGGCTCCCTGGTTCCGTCTGGATTCCCGTTTTGTGGAGATCTCTTCTGCAGAGGGTGGGGAAGGAGCGGTTTTTGGGGGTGTGGGTCCAGAGAGTCATTGTGCTTTCCGCACTCGAAGGAGGAAGGGGAAGGGATGTTGTTACCTTGACTCTTCTACCTCCTCCCTCTCCTCCCTTTTCCTCGTATCATCACATTACTCCTTCTGTACAGAGCTCTGACATTTGACGATCTACGCTTTTTCTTTCCTCCACCTTTCTCCCCTTTCCCCCTCCTACCGACACTTGATAGATCCTCTGCTAGGGAAAGGAAGTCAGAGAAAGAAGAAAGGAGGAGAATGGGGTTGAAAGGAAGAAGAGACGAAAGTTGGCGACAAGGGAATGGATTTTGAAAGAAGGGAGATGACTTCGACCATCGAGGAAGCGAGAAAGGAGGATGGTTTGAAGAGGGTTGATGGTCCTCAGAACAGTTGGGAGATCGAGAAGGAGAGGTCGTCTACGATCGGGGTGGGGGTAGGATTCTCGAAGGGCTCCGTCGAAAGGAATGACCGTCGTCTTGCTCCGGATGGTGAGAGAGATCATGAGCAGGAAACTTTGCCGTCCATCTCGATTCGAGAATGCATCAAGGAGCGGAAGGGAAGGAACTTCGACCACGATATCGAAACGGAGAAAGGAGGAATGGACGAGATCCTCCACGTCCGAGGAGGAGAGGAAAGTTCGGTTTCGCAGCCAAATCTCGATCGGATAAATAGGGTCCTTGCATCTGATGGCGTCAGAGTAAGAGGAGATCGGAAGAGTCAACCGTCGAAAGGGATGGGTCAGGAGAGGGTGGAAGGATCCCGAAAACGACAAGATTCTCCTACTGTGCTCGATCGTGGCAAGGTCCGGGACGACCAGGAGAGGGAGAGGAGGTTTTTTAACATCGAGGTCAAGACTGGCTGCTCCTCATCGAAGACTTTTCTTGATCCGAAAGACTTGTATCACCAAAGAACCTCTACACCTCGTAGTAAGAGGCGTCGTTTGGAAAAGGACGTGGCAAAGTATGGCCTTGAAAAGAGTAACACGACCAGCAACTACTCCGACTACTTCGAGGGCGAGTCTCGCTACGAGGAGGAGTCAGATTCGGAGGATTGTTGGGAGCCTCGAGAAGGAAAATGCTCCTCGGATTCTGATTCTGAATCGATGATGGAGGAAGTGTCCAGGAGCTCGACCGACTCAGCAGAAGAAAGTGATTCCCCTTCCTCCTTCTCGAGGTCTAAATCTGGGTCAGAGGACAAGAGGAAGGGTAAGGTGAAACGATCCCCTATTCCAAGCAACCCATTGAGAGGACCCAAGCCTGGAAGTGCTGAGAGTAGGATCCTCAGCATCAGCGGGCCTCCCCCTGAGGTGAGAGCAGAAGGAATTGTATCAGCTCAGAAGCAACTTGCCTGTTTCGAAGCTTGACGATAAATCCTCTTCCCATCGGCAGGAGTGGAGGGACAGGCACGACAAGTTGACGAGCTTGGACGCTGTCTACATCTTTGAGAGGGTTTTCATCAACTTCGAGAATTGGCAGGGGAGGGATGGGAAGAACAGGTACGCCGTCCTGGAGGATGTGGTAGGAGTTGAGAAACGGAGCCCTTTCGGACCTGGCGAGGCTTTAAGGACGAGGATCCTGCTGTGGATGAACAGGGTCCTGGTTTGGATACGTGATTCAGGTCAAACGAAAGGCGGCGGGGGAAAAGCCACCAAAGGAAGAGCTACAAACCAAGGTCAGGTGAACAAGTTGGACGCAGAGAAAATGGCTCTGATCTTTCAAGGTGAGAGAGAGCCCTTGGAAGTGTGGGGGTCAATGTGAGGATCCTTCAGCTTTAAATGCAGAACGTTAATCTGACTCGCTATCGAGGGGCACACCTCGGTGGTCATGAAATCTGATCACCACCGCAGAGATCTGGAGGGTCTTCAAACCGGAGAAGGGATCGGATGCAGCAAGTACCAGGGCCCCTAACTGGATGGAGATGGCAGATGCTAGGAGGTTGAAATGCGATAAGGAACAGGGAAAAAGCTCGGGGAACGAGAGGATGAGGCAGTACGCGGACGGTTGGAGGAAGAAGGTGATCTCTGCGATCCTTGATGGTAGGTTGCTTTGAGGGCGGTGTCGATGGAGGAGGAGGGAAAGGGTGAACCAAGTTTGGTCGCCAATTCTATCACACATTGTGAGTTGTATGCTGCCAAACAGTGCCACACCCTTTCCCCCCACCTCTTCTGGTTGTGGATAGGATGGTGGAGGAGGTTTGACAGGCGAATGGCTCGTGCGTGGTGGCGAAGAGGAAGAATTTTCCAATTACTGCCTTGACTACCCTTGACCTATCTATCACTCAACAACCACCCTTCTCCTTCCACCAAACCACCATCAATAAGCACCTGGACGAATGGCCCGCTCATACTTGATTATAGGCTAGGATTCAAACAAGCGCATACTGATACCTCGTTTGTCACCGATTGGGACTGGCAGAAGTGACAAAAGGGAGGAGAGAACCTTCATCTTGAGAAGAAGAAAAAGGAGCCATAAAAGGAGAACCAAAAACGTACAGAAAACCCAAGCAAAAAGTGTGAAGAGGCTCTACAAGAAAAGCTCACATTTCACACCATGGCCTCCATCGAAGAGCCTCCCTCTCTCAAGGACATCTCGCTGGAATCGCATCGAATCATCCACCGATTCCTACTGCACAAAGGCTACATCGGAACGGCAAAGTCGTTGCGGGAGCAAGCCCAGGAATCCCTTGGCTTGAATCCCTCCTCCTTCGACTCCTCGCCAGGATCTCTGCAGTTAGACCTGGAGACCCTGATCGAGGCGTACAACTCCAACCTCTGCGCGCAGCGGCAGAAGGAAAAGCTCAAGGCACTCGCTTCCTCCCTTTCGGGGGCGACGGTGACCGATCCCCTCTCTTTAAGACTGGAAGGGCCAGCGACACTCGACTTCAGGCTGACCAACACGTACCGCACATTGCACGCTTCCAACATCCTCTCTCTTGGTTTCTTCGACCTTCCGACAAGGTTCTTCGACACTGCTTCACAACCGCCGCGCTTCAGAATCTCCCTGAAAAAATGTCTCGTATCGACCGCTGCGGACAAGAGGATCGTCTTCTCCGACCCAGCCGATGGTCGGGTGGAAGAGATGCTCGAAAGTTCCAATGGTAGTGGTATGGCGCATCACGCCGCCATCCTCTGCACTGCTCAGGACCCGAAAGAGTCGAGGTGCCTGGTCAGCTCCGGCATGGATGGCAAGATCATCGTTTGGGACCTGCTCAAGAGGAGACCTGTCCAGAGCTTGACTCACCATTCCAAGTTTGTCGTCAGGTTGGCCTTCAGCCCCTCGGGTGAATACTTGGCTAGCGCAGGCTACGATCGCAAGATCTACGTCTACAGGAGGTCGAAGCGATACGCCACCATCGGCGATACCCGAAGCGAAGGTGAGGGTGAGGAAGAAGATGAGGATGAAGACATCGAGGAGCCTGAGGATATTTCACCGGAATTCGAGCTGGTCCACGAGATCAACACGGCTGCTAACCCTGAAGCGATCATCTTCGTCAGGGCCCCTTGCTCTCCACCCGAGAGGGAGGTCGCCTCATTGGAAGCGGGAAGGAATGTGACAGAGGACGGAAAGGTGCTCCTCCAGCCTCCCAAAGAAGACAGGACCTGGCTGGTGTACACGATCAGAAACGACTGCTTCCTCCATTACGTAGCCTTGCCCCTCGATGCCGATAGGGTGACCTCGAGTGGCAGCGTCGAAGAGACTTCGGAAATGATGGCGAGCACTTCGCTGTCGAAGGTTTCGACGAAGGATTGGGCGAGCCTCAAATTCAACACCAACCCCGACCCGGAAGACGTCCACGTCAGCTACTCGTTGCTCGCGTTGAGCCTCCATCCTAGCAAGCTCTACCTCAGCGCTCAGACGGGAGAGCACGAGACGGTCTCGTCCACCAGCACCTCGGGATCCTCTAGTTCCGGAGTCGCGTCAAGGATCCTCCTCATGCCGCTCCTCTCCGACGTCCGAGCAAAGACGCTATGGACCGGATCCTCGACCTCATCCTACTCGACACCGAGGCACTCCTGGCTACCTTCCGGAAAGGCTGTCTGGGTCAACTCGGAGGACGGATTCCTGCGACTGGTGGATGTGGAAGGAAAGCAGAGGAGCTGCGTCCTGACACACGGTCTGGCTCGCGACTCTGAAACCGATCCTCAGAGCCGAGGTGGGCAAGAGGCGCTCAACGCCGCCGCCACGTGGTCCAGGGGAGGAAACACGATCGTCAAAGACCTCGTCGCCTTCGAAGAAGGAAAAGTCGCCAGCTGCGGCTTTGACAGGACCGTCAGGATCCTCACGCTCGACCCAGGTGTTGCGACGTGAAAGGGATGAGGGAACTCTTCTCTTCCCCTTTCCCCCCTTTCCTCGCCTTTCACAAGAACCTTCTTCTGAGACAGCCTGTGATCCCTTGCAAGGTCCAGGGGGGAGTTTTTTTCTTCCTACTTTTTTCTTTTTCTCTCTTACGTCTGACTTGTCAATCCTGTACCGTCCTACGTGGGAGGAGGCGGGTTACGGTTGGAATCGAATCCAACCTCAATTGTTGGCAAGCTGGTTCTGAAAGCGTTCGAATCCGGAGAGAAAAAACAAACATAAAGCATGAGAAAGAGATGGGTTGAAAAAAGCTGATACGAAGTTCACCAGCGAAATGGGGTGGGAAAAAGTAAGGTCGACGATTGACGTAGATGAGAGTGAGGGGGGAGAAAAAAGTAGGCTGACTCCTCCCGGGCTCGAACCGGGGACCTTTCGCGGATGATTTGAACAGAGGATCTGTTCGAAAGGAGTGTTAAGCGAACGCTCTAACCAACTGAGCTAAAGTGCCTTTCTATGAAGGGAGGGGTTTACGTTGTAATTAAGAAGGCTTTACAAGACCATGCAAGACCTAATCATTCGCAAAGGGTTGGGAGAACAGTGGGGGTCAAACCCCTTTTCCCATCGAACGTCTACCTCGAAAGCAAAAGGTGCTTTCCAAACTTCCACCCTTCGAGATACACGATCCGTAAAAAACGATGGGACAAAAGGAGAGGGTTGCTCTGATTGTGAAGATGGGGGTGGGGGGTATGGGGAACAGAAGCCACTGGAAACGAGGGCAAAGTTATCTCTCCTCTTTCTATCCCTTCGAACGAAGTTTCTCCTGATGGGTTCAGGATAATACGGGTAGGAACTGGAGAGTTTTTGGAATGGGAGAGGGAGTTAACGTGGATTTTTTTTTTTTTGAACGCCAAGAGGATTTGAAAATGAGTTCCTTCCCAACCTGCTGAGATTCTTGAACGACATTTTGACTCGTCGAAGAAGGGGAGGGAGGGGAAATAGAAGAAAAAAGGTGGAGAGAGGGATACTCACATTACCAACGATCAGAGCCGGGAGGTCGAAGACGTCTCTCTTGATGGTGAAGGACCAGGAGCAAGGTACGGGTTTGTTGTTGGGCGTTAAGAGGACGCAGGTGGTCACTTTTGGAAGGAGGGGGGGAAAAAGCGCAGGGTTTAGCCTCGAGAAGGGAATCATGACAATTGATCGCTTCGAGAGACTTTGGATCGGGACAAAGAAAAAGCACTCACTGACGCTCTGAGTAGTGTTCTCGAAGGCGTGAGACGCGAATTTCTCCCAATAATCCAACATTGAATCCTTGTCCATGAACTCGTAGATGTATTTGCCCATCAGCTGTTCCCTGGACCATTGCGTCAGCATGCAGAACTCGGCTCCCACCACGCAGATCTCGCAAGTCCTCCTCCATACCACCGTCGGTGTACCGGAGAAGGAGATGAGCTTTTCGAATTCCTGGTGTTCGATTCGTTCGTTCGCGAAACGTGCAAAGGAGGCCAGTGGTTGGGTTGGGTTGGGGTTGGTAAAAAGGGAGGCCCGAATGATGGAGACGGAGGGAAAGGTGTTGAGCTTTGGTTCGGGAACAGTTGGGCAAAGTAGGAAAGGAGGAAAGCGGGGACAAACCCAAGGAGGTATGGCCGATAGAAGCAGCGGTGACGTTGGTCGTGACTTACCAGGATCGTTCTTTGGAATGACCTCTCCACAAAGATCTCGTCGTCCTCCGAGAGAGGCATTTGAAGTGCGATGAGCGAAGGTCGGAAGACGGCCAAGGCCCTCACGATCCTTAGCACGTCCTGATATTCGTACCTAGACCGGGGAAAACATTGAAGAGCGACAAAGGAAAGGGAAAAAGAGAGTTAGAAAAGAAAGTGAAGAAAGAAGAAAAAAACCAGGGATGGAAAGAGGATCAGCCCTGTGGGATCCAAGCACTCAGGAAGGGCTTCCATCGGCCCCGATGAGTGAGACTCACTTCTCCGTCGCGTACTTTAAGAGGAAGTGGTACCCTTCAGTGTAAGGGAAGGGCTTGGTGTTGTCCTTGTACACCTTCGCCACCCTATTCTTCCAGCTTTGATCCAATTTCGCCCTCCTCGTCGCCAAAGCGTTGGCCACCTCAACTTGCTCTCCAGCGTCCATGGACGAGCCCCTCCCTGCCGAGCCCCTGCCTACCGAGCCCCTTCCTATCGATCCCGGGCCCGCTCCCCCTCCTCCAACGGTACCACCCGCAGCCGTCACATCACTCGAGGCCCCTCCTCCTCCTTGCCCGTTCGCTACGAGGCCGGCACCCTCTTCCCCTTGGAGACTCGACCCATCCACCTTGACTTCATCGGCTCCGAAACCGTCGCCTCTCCCGACAGCCTCGTTCGACTTTGTGTTGTTGGGCGACGTCATCTCGAGGTTGGAAAAGCTTGTCAGATTCTCGCCGGTACCGCCGTTGGCAGGGATGGATGCAGTTTGCTCTTGCTGGGCAAAGCTGGGGTTCCCGGCCTGGTCGAACGAGGTTCCGCCGTTGTCGTTGGCGCCGCCAATGGCCGAGATAGCGTCCGTGAAAGCGGTCGAGTTGACCGCTCCGGGAGGTGTCGACAAGGATCCCAAGAGGCTAGGATCGGCTAGGTTCCATGCTTCCGCCCGGCCTGATCCTCCGTCATAATCCGTGTAGTTGTCCACCTGGAGCGCGGCGGGCGATGTCTGGAAATCAGGAGAGTGATCGGAGCCGAGGAGGCTCATGTCCGTACCGTTAAGCATGGAAGATAGGATCGAGTACTCGAGAGATGTGGCCTCGGATCCAAAGTTGTAGGTAGGGTCGAACGCCAGGTCAAAGGTGGGATCGCTCTGGTGCGAGGCCACGCTCTGACCGGAATCGATGTGGGAATGCCCGTGGATCAGATCATGGGCCGGACTCGAAGGATCTGCAACCGAAGCGCTGCTCAGGGTGGAGTCCAAGCCGGCGGGCGCTTGATTCTGTTGTTGTTGTTGTTGTTGTTGTTGTTGTTGTTTTTGCTGCTGCTGCTGGTTCAGCTCGTTCGCCGCAAGGAGCTTGGCTTGCTTCTTTTCCGCCTTTTGCCTCTTCAGCTCTGCAATCTCGTCATCATCCAGCAGATACTTTGCTTTCTTTCTCAGGCCGTCCGTACACGAGTCTGCTAAACCTTTCCTCACGCATCTTTGACACGGTCGAGCTGTTGTCGGATGAAATGGTTTGGAGGGTGGATCGATAGAGTGAGAAAGAGAGGAGGGTTGGGGTGAGGTGGCAAGCTCAAATTGTGCTATGCGAAACTCGATCGTGCCATCATCCAAGGACGATTCGAGTCGTCCTCCCGTCTACATCTACACAGAGAGTCGACTACTCACAATCATCGCAAGTGAGATGCGCCTTCTGGCAGTGGAAGCAAGCCCTGTTTGCCTTCTTCCTCTTACCATCCTTGCTGACTTTGGCCTTACCCTTGAGGTCGTTGTTAGAGTTGCTGGTCGAGCCGCCATTCTGACCGAGATCGCCCGCACTCTTGGCAGCTCCAGCAAGAGAGGAGGAAGGGTTAGCTTCGAATTTGACGTTGGATCCGGATGCCTCTGACGAGCTGGAAGGTTTCGGCGCCACTTCGACCTCCCTTCTCAAGGGTGAACCAGAAGTCTCCTGTTGGGTGGGGGGGGGGGGGGGCGGGAAGTGCGGAGGGACCAAATTGACCTGGGTGAGAATGGGGTTGTTGCCTTGGTCTCAAAGGCTCGGCTAAGATGCGAGGCAGTGGTGTTCTCGTGGATGCTCACCTGATACGAGTTCTCCCTCTTGGCCGGGTTGGTGTTGGAGTTGGCCGACTTTGAATTGGTAATGGTGGTGGTGGTGGTGGAGGAGATTGGCCTGACGGAATGATACAGGTATTCTCCTTTGGTGGTTCCGAGGATGCTACTCAATCCAGCTGCGGCTGAGTTGAGAGAGGGCAGTCCGCTGGGAGAGGGCCTGCTTCTTGAGAGCGCGTGAAGGGTGTCCGCAGCGGCGACTTGGGAGGGTGAGGAAGAACGGACATTTTCGTAGAGGTTGAGCTTGGACTGGGTAGGTTTTGGTTGGTTTGAGGTTGTTGCGGTCGCTGGGGTCGAGGGTGTGGCTGTCGCTGTCGCTGACGAGGAGGAGTAGGAGGAGGAGGAGGTGGAGGAGGAGGAGGATATGGATGGGAGGATTGTCCGTTGAGGTTGGGCCGGTTGTACTTTTGGTGGCTGTGGATCTGACATGGATGTGGAGCGGGGAGCGGGGTGTGTATGTGTATGTGTGCGTGTATGCGTGCTTTACGTCGCCTACTAGGGTTGATTCTGACGAACTGGAGTGGATTTTGCGGAGAGGGATGAGATGGAGGGGATGAGAATTAAGTGCAAGGACCTAGGATGGACGCAAGGGAAGGATGGAAGGAAGGATGGAAGGAAGAGTGGAAGGAAGGAAGGGAGCAGTGGTGGAAGTGCAGGTCCAGCAGTACAGTAGATCGATGTCGATTGTCAATCTGGGGAGAGATCTCTTGCGGTCGTACCCAGTCACGAGGATGGATGAGGAAGGGGGAGGGGGGGGGGGCCTGAAGGAAGCGAGATGGCGGAGGGAGAAGAGGAGGGAGGGAGAGAGAGAGCGTCTAAGAAGAGAGAAGAGAACGGGGTGGGGGAGAGAGGAAGAAGGTAGAGGAAGGAAGAGTGAAAAAGAAGCCCGGATCGAGATTCGAATCTTTGTCTCCAGTTTGAACCGGGCGCTTCACTCTATCGCGCGAGAAAAAAAGGGGGAAAGGCAGGGAAGACATCACGGTTGATCCTAACTCCACTCACGAGCTCAGGCCACCCACCAACCACACCACTCACTCAAGCAACAACTCTTCTCCTCCCTCCTCCCCCTTCCCCCTCCTCGCTACACTCTCCACCAACAACAACGAAAGGAAGCCAACACCAGGCTGATCCCATACCACCCTCACCCTTCAAGACTCCCCATCCCCCCCCTTTCCACAAAAAATCCTTTCCTCGCCTGTGATCAGCCAGCACAAGCCAACGCGATGGCAAGAGTGAGAATCGGAAAGCCGGAAAAAAAAAGTTCTTCTTTTACCCTTCTCCCCCCCTTTTTTCTCCGCTGATCAACATCCCCTCCATCCTCCCTTCCCTTTCTCCCTACCTGGTCGCCAGGTCTTCTCCCTCTGGATCTTTGACAGGCACTGTAATCCGATCTATCACCAGGACTGGTCTCACCTCCACCAACCTAACAGTGGCAACCCCCTCTCCCCCTCCTCCCCCTCCCATCAGTCTTCGGGAGGCGGAGGTCTGGCCTCCATCGGAGCCACCTTCCAAAGGGGTGCCTCCAACTTCACCGCCAGCCAGCAGCAGCAGCAGCAAGGAGGTGGTTCCAATGTTGTCGATGCCAGGAGGAGCCTCGTCGCACAGCCCGTCTCTCGTCCAGGTAGACCTTCCATTCCCGGCGTCACGAGAAGTTCCCAGCCTTCCCAAGCGGCTACGGATCAGAAGCCTTCGATCGGAGGTGGATCTTCCAGG